CTCACTGCAGGCCACGCAACTGACCAGTCCACCTCCCACCTCCCATGAAGAAGATTTACATTCGACCTCTCCCAGCATCCCAGGAGGAGGAACTGAAATAGGTCAGAGGTCACACACTGGGAGCTGAAGGTCACACAACCCAATTCTCCCACAAGTTTTACTTGGGATGCAGACTTTTCTGAAACATTTTGTGGCCAAATAGAAAAATCAAGCAATCGCACATGAAAACTGCATTCCAGCCTCTTCAAAGAAAGTAGCAGAAGAGCTGTTAGCACGAAGTCCACATCCTGGGGAGACAGCCAGCCTTGGAAGCGGGGCAGGGGTTGTCGGGGGTTCTCTCCAGTGTCCCAGGATCCAAACTGAGGCCAGTCCGCCCACCCCAAGCCCCGTAGACACTGGAGTTTTAGAATCCTGCCCAGTTTTGGTGATGTGAGTAATTAGAGCCATGACTGTCCCTGAGTACAGACACCCTCACCTCACTTCTCAGCTGCAGCATTCGCTGTAGAATTATGACTCTCGAGAGCATACTTTTCTCCTCATAGAGAGCTTTTCCCCTCCAGCATGGTGCAATCTAAGAGAAACTATTTGCAGAGACCCGAGTCCCCAAGTCTCTTCTTGCTTTAACTCGGCTCCCAGCATCAGCGACCAGGTGGAGGCAGGAACCAAAGGTTACTGGAGTGTGGAGGGCGAGAAGGGGGTGTTGGAGAGAGGGTGGTGTCTGCCGTGGGCAGGGCTTCCTGCCAGGACCAGCTGCCCCTCAGCAGCCTCCTTGCCTGGTTGGGCCTTAGCAGGCAGCCTCCCTCCTACAGGCTGTGCCCCACACACAGGCCTGGCCCAGCTGTTCCTCTTCCTGGGTCCTTGGGGTTAGTCAGTCATCAGCACTGGGGTGACCATCACTCACACAAACTTTCTGTGGGGTCAGGCTCAGGACCCCAGTCCTCACTGCATCGGAGGTCAGACGGTCCAGGCTCCCAGGAAGGATGTGGGAAGGGTCCTCAGAAGGTTTAGAGATGCTAGACCGACTTTTGGCTTGGGCGTGATTGCCCAGCTGGCCAAGTGGAAGTAAAAGGGCTTTAGTGTAGTCCTTGCTGGAAAGCAGAGAAAAGGCTCGCCAGGTCGGAGGCAGAATCCCACACCTGGTCTTAGGGGGGAACTGACGGGAGGGGGCTGGAGGAATGAAGGGAGACAGGGAGAGGGACATTTCTCACCAGGAGGCCTGCTGGGACGCAGAGCACTGCTGGGGAGATGAATCTTCAAGGGTGTCCCTATACCACGTGGGGAGCTGCTGACACTGCAGATTCCAGGTCCCCACCTACACCCACTACTTTAGACTCTCCAGGGGTAGCTCAGGCAAATTTTAACAAGCCTCTCAGTTGAACTGGATGTACCCTAAAGTTTGAGGATCACCAAGTGTGACCACATGGTGGCTCCGGGGACACTGGGCCACCCAGAATGCCAAGTCCACTGGGGGAATGGCCTTTCCAGGGGGGCAAAGACACCCGAGAAGGGGTGGGAGCCACTTAGTGAAGGCAGGTTACTTGATCCCATCTGGGAACAAGGGACAACTAGGAAATAAATCCTCCTATGTCCTTGGGTGGGACAGAGCAAGGATGGGAGGAACTAGGAGGCATGAGATTGGGGTCCTCAGCCACATCTAAGCCATGTGTCTCGATAGAGAGGGGTACATTTTGCCCCCCTTCCCAAGGGGACATTGGGCAACATCTGGAGACATTTTTAGTTGGCACAGCTGGTGAGGGATGGAAAGGTGGATATTACTGGCATCTAGTGAGTAGTGAGTAGAAACCAGGGATGCTACTAACTATCCTACAATACACAGGACAGTCTCTACTAGAAAGTATTATCCAGCCCCAAGTATCAATAGCTCCAGGCTGAGAAACAGACCTAAACTGAGAAAACTCCAGGCGGCTGGGCAAGACCATGACTCAAGGAGAGTCACCATCCCAGCTTCTCAGGAGTCAAGACAGACCCCATCCACCTCCATCTGTGAGCTCCCAGTATACTTATTTAAATGGAGAAACAATACATCAGAGTTACCAAAATTGCATGGTAACAGAGAAATATTGGGTTGTTGGAAAAATCGCGGTGCATTTTTGCAACGAGGAACAGAGAAAAAAAATACGTCATGACTTTTCCGACAATCCAATACATTCAACACCTCTACCTCATTTGGAGGAAACATCCAGTATCTAAATCTGAAATTCTTCACGAGTGTGAATTCTTATTAACCCTATTTTAGAGCTGAGTAAACTGAGAATTAGAAACTGGTGAAGTATCCAGAATAGCCAAAGTTGCACAGTTTATAACCGGCAAAGCCAAGAGTTGGACATCAATCCACAGCCCATGTTCTTATCCAGCAGGCTACACTGCCCAGACGAGCCCATCCAGCAGGCAGGTCCCAGGGTGAGCAAACTCATGGCAACAATGTTTTCCTCAGACCTGCTTATCACTGACAGACTGGGGGTTGCGAATCCACCTAAATCTACTTCTAATTTTGCCCCCTGGGGGAATGGAAGCCAAACAGCTCAGCCTGCAATGTTCCCCGTGGTGCCATATTAAAAATATTCTTCCCTGCTCATCACGCAGGACTCTTAAATAGTTTGTGTTGACAAAACACTTCCAATGCATTATTTAAACTAAGTTGTTAAAGGCTTTAAAAAAAAAACAAAACAGGAGAAAGATAAAAGCAGCTCTTCTGCAGATTCCCATGAGACAAGCCATGTGAGTCATTTCAGAGTTGCCTAGGTAATTGTACCCTGCAGTTTTTGTAAACTGGCCTCATTCAGGCGAGAGATGTTGGATTACTTGCTCTTTTGCCTCTGGCTTAGTGTGGGCATCCTAACTAGATTTTCCCTGTCTTGGTTTTAAAAAAGGAAGGCTCTGAGCCAAGCATCAATCAGACCTAGGTTCAAATCCCAGCCCTGCTATGTGCTTACTGTGGGACCTTGGGGAACTTACACAACCCCTCTGGGCTCAGTTTTTGCATCTGTACAATTGGGCTTTTAATGTCTCGGTGGAGACGAAATGAAATAACTTCTGTGCAAGTGCCTGGTATGTTACAGATGCTCAAACAATGTTAACCTCTTCCCTTCTCCACCAAATCCCCATTTATGGTCATGTGATACAGAGTTTCAGAGCTGACAGGGAGCTGAGTGACATTTAGAGAGCAGCCTTCTCAACAGACAATTCCTCTGTGGATCACCATGTAGGTTTACCATTGACTTGGGTTCTGTAATCAAGAACCACTCCCGGTGTGTTTTGGTGACATTTTAAAGACAGTAAAGCAATATGTCCCCTCTGACAATGACAGACCTCTCCAAGCAGGAGAGCAGAAGTGGCTTTGACATGGTTCCACCAGGAGTATGTGAAACACAGTGAGGAGGGGTGTCTGGCTGGACTTGAGTGAGCAACCAAAACGGCCACTCAGGGCTAGGCACTCACTTGGGCCCTGGCTTCTGATTCAATCCCAGTGAATTTCCGGCCCAGGTTTGGGGTCAGGGGAAATGGTCCGACCCAGACCCAGGAGTCCCCAAAGCTGGGAACATAGAACAGAGGGCTAGACAAGGGCCAGCCTGGATGCCTGGGACCAAAGCTGAAATGGACCACAGAGCAAGCCACAGTGCCCAAAGTTGGGGAACAGACAGATAGCATGGACAGATAAACCTGGGTAGGAGGTTGTCAGGAAGCGGGAGCCAGCACTCAGAGGGTGGGAGAACAGAGGCGAGGCAGGGCTGAGCGAGAGATCTGGATTTTAATGCAAAGTCAGTCCCACCTCAGCCATGACTTGACTTCGTTCTATCTCAGGATGGCCAGGCTGTGGAACGAGGCTGAGATAGCCCTCTCCTGAACCTATTGAAGTTCAAAGGCTGGAAGCGAGGGACGCTTCATGGTTAAGAACTCAGGCTGTACAGTCAGGAACAAGCCTGGGTTTGAGCCGAACGCCACCATCACCAGCCGTGTGTCTTAGGCTGGTGATTTAACCCCTCTGAGCCGCGGTTTCCTCATCTGATGATGGTTGGGAGGAGGATGACAGTGGTGATGAAGATACTGATGATGGTGGTGATGGAGGAGGGTGGTGGTGTGGTGATGATGGTGATGACGAAGATGATGAGAGCGATTATGGCGGCGGTGATGGTGATACTGAGAATGATCATAACACTGGTGATAATGGTGGTGGTGTTGATGAAGGAAAGTTGGATGGTGTTGACTATGATAGTGATAATGGTGATGACCATGAGAGCCTCCGCTTCAGAATGGATGTGAAGAGTAGGCTGGACTGTGTGACTCCGAGCAACCTAGCTTCTGACCCACCTCTGCCATCTGTAAAATGGTGATCAATATTCATACCTCACAGGGTTATCACAAACATTAAATTAAAATATATGTCATGTGTTTAACGCATAGGACGTGCTTAGTAAATGCTAGCTATCATTATCAATAATATTATTTTCGTTGCCATGTTCCCGTTATTTTCAGACGCATTCCTGTTTATCCTGGGCTGGTATCATGGCTCTTGTTATCAATACCTTACTTAGTCAGGACTGGAATGACTTATATCCTAGCCCGCAGAATTGGTTTCCTCCCTCATGCCTCCTGCCTCCTACTTTTTACACCATGAAGTCTGATGGCCGTTACTTTGTCCATGGGTTCTGCTAGGAGATGGGCCTCCTGTGGTCCTAGATCTCTCAAAACCCATGTCATGGCCATCCTGAAACGATGACCACAACGACGGGTGTGGGCCAGCCATCGGTGCCAGCTTGGATGAGCTTACCTTTGTGTTTGACAGTGGGGCTGCCTTCCCACCTGTTGCTGTCGACCCTACGCAGCAGCAGGCTGGGCATCCAAAGCTTGTTGGCTCCACGTAGAATCATGTGAGTGAGTGGTGGAGATTGTAAACTGACTCAAGATTTCCAGACCAAGGCCACCAGCTGGTCACTCCTGATGCCGCACGTTCCTCACCTTACCCCTGCTTTACCTTTCAGAGAGCTGGATGGCAAGTCACACAAACCTCTGCCCCTCAGCGTGGAGAATGACCGAGTCTTTAATGACCTGTGGGGGAAAGGCAACGTGCCCATGGTCCTCAACAACCCCTATTCAGAGAAGGAGCAGGTAAGTGGGTGGTGCCAGCTGGGGGGTAGGGGTGGGGAGCTGAGGCCAGGAGTGCCTATTCTAAGGTATGGATTTTGGCTTTGCTTTCTTAATTCCGTTCCTGCATTAAAGTCACTCGTGGCTCTGAATGTAAAAGGTATAAAATATCCATGGTGAAAATGTTTTTCTCTCCCCTAATCCCAGGGGCAAGCAATATTTATTGTTTTTGTGGTACTTTTAGCAATACGTATTTTATACACAGGCCAACACACACACACACATTATTTTTACACAAATGAGAGCCCGTTATACATATTGTTTTGCACCTTGCTTTTTCACTTATCAACCTATCTTGGAGATTAGTCCTCATTAGTAGGTAAAAAGAGCCCTGGTTCTTTTTAACAGTTGTATAATTTTCCATTGCATGGCTATGCCGTATTCATCGAGCCAGTCCTCCAAAATGGACGCTAACGTCATCACGAATGTTTTACATGACATTGCTGTAATGAATGACATCGTATAAATACCTAATTTGGCACACGGGCAGGCTTATCAATAGAAAAAATTCCTCGAAGTGGAATTGTTGGATCAAAGGTCATACTCACTTGTGATCTGGGCAGAAATTGAAAAATTGCTCATCATAAAGGCTGTACCGATCCTGCCGGCTAAGTAGGCGCGTGATTGTTTCCCCACAGCCTTGCCCGCTCCATGTTTTATCAAACATTTCAGCCTTTGCCATTTTGCCAAGATGTATTGATATTTTGGCAGCTGAGAAGATAGCATTCCCGAGAGTGGCTAGATTTGGCTAGAGAACATCAGCGCCTTTTTCTCACCTGCCAGGCAGCTAACGGACAGAGCCTAGCAACGCGTGTGAATTTCCCATCGTCCTCTGCGTTGTAGTGAGGTACAGGTGGGCCAACCAGCGGGAGGTCACTCAGCCGGTCATCTTCTTCCTTCCCTCCACCTGCCCCAAGCCCTGGATGGCACGGGCCAGGTTGCCAAACTCTTTCTTCTGCAGCCCCTTTCGCCACCGGTTCATCTAAGCAATGACTCAAAGGCTCTTTACATAGCTTCCCAGGGAAGGGTGGCACATTGCAGAGCCTCAGTAGGGAGTGCTTTCCTTAGCTGCTGATGGCTGGCCAGGAAGATATGAACATGAGGGATTCTGCAACAGGTCAGACCCACACTCCCCCTGGCCAAGGACTCCACTTCTCACGGTGACATCTGGGAATGTGTAGAGGTTCCTATGATACTGCCTCAAAATCAAGGTCACACTGTGAGCATGACGGGACCATTATCCCTGAATGATTACATGAACAAATAAAGTAAAATATTTTCTTTCTTAGTTGAAAGAGGTGTTGCCGTAATGCAAACTCTCCCAAGACAAAAGACAGAAAGAGGCAGCCTCAGGCCCGATCCAGGCTGTAGACATGATCTGTTAGGTCTGCATTGTCTTATCGAAAGAGACAGATTATAGTGGTACTTCGAATGTATTGCCAATAGATCAAACCTTTTATATAAATATCGTATTGACAGCTTCTCTTTAAAATGTGGATAATCTGACCACCCTGAGCCTATGTTCTGGGGCAAAAATCTCCTAGGCTGAGTAGCAGCTGCCCCCTCTAGACAGGGCGTGGGCTCGCTGGTTCGCCACAGTCCCCTCCGCTTCCTGTTATGCTCCTTTCATTAAGTTAGGGTAAAAGTTAAATCTTTGTGTAGCCAGGTCTTTATTGTAAATGTCAGGCAGCGGTCAACCAAGAGGTTTATACGTTTTAGGAAAGATGAGAATGATTTCATGTTTGATGCAAATGAAGAATATTTTTAATGGGTTTAATATGCAGCCACGTGTTCCGTCTTGAAATTACCCAGCCTGCTTTGCTGCTCTACCTTCCCTACCTGCCCCTCTAGGTATCCGAGTTTGTAATTGCTGGAGTTTGTAATTGCTGGTCTGGAGCAACCCCTGAGATCTGGGGTATAGGGAAGAAGCAGAGTTTGGCCTTGACCCCACCAGGAGGACCCTTAAAGTCCTGCTGAAACCTGAGCAATAGCAGGACTCTGATTATTCCCTTTCACACCGTCCACCTCGGTTAGACAGTGATAGCTCGAAAAACATAACCTTGAACTTCAAGCCTGAGGAGTGGGGCTCAATATTGGGAGCAGGGCAGGCGTGATTCATAGGTCCACTGGCCACCTTTGCAGGGCATCATGGTGAAATGATCAGTGGCTCAGTCCAGCTGCTGCTGTCACGGAATGCCATCGACTGGGTGGCTTGTAAACAACATAAATTTATTTCTCACAGTTCAGGAAGCTGGGAAGTCCAAGATCAAGGTGCCAGCAGATTTAAGGTCGGGTGCAGCCTGCTTCCTGGTTCATAGACAGTGGTTTTCTCACTGTGTCCTCACATGGCAAAAGGGGTGAGGGGGCTGTCTGGGGTCTCTTTTATAAGGGCACTAATCCCATTCATGAGGGCCCCACCCTCATGACCTAATCACCTCCCATAGGCTCCACCTCCTAATACCATCACGTTGAGAATTTGGTTTCAACATAGGAACTTGAGGGGGACACAAACATTCAGTCTACAGCAATCAGGGAGCCGTGTTGAGAGCTTGCCTTAGGGCCTCCTCTAAAACAACAATTCCATGTCCTCGGAGAAGGAGGAAGGGTTCTGGAGAAAGGGGGGCAAAGCCTGAGGCTTCCTGACGTTAAGATGGCCCAATAGCTTTAGACGTGGGTCCCCCAGAAGCACGGCAGCTAGGCCAGCAGTGCTTGGGATGTCCATTCACCCCTTTAGCATCAAATCCTCAGTGTAGTTTATGAGACCAAAAAAGGTGCAAAACCACTGGCCTGAGAGATCGGACGGGGTCTGTTGTCTGAGATTCAGCTTCCCAAATGCCCTTACAAGTAGAGCTGAAAGGAGCAGAGACCCAAATACTCGGTTTATATTTGTGTCCCAGAGCTAAGGATGCAGCCCGCATTACCTCCTGCTAAGACATCTCCATAGACACGGAGCTCAGAAATGTTTCTGAGCAAATCAAAAAACACACACACAATGTTCTTCTTCTTTCCAACCTGATAGGCCAGCTCCTATGTTTCGCCTCCCCTCTACCTGCTCAAAGCCACTTTACCTGGAGCTCCTGGAATCGGATTTCTTTCTCCCAGTTGTAACCCACATTTGCTTGCTTTTTTAAGGCATCCATTGGGAGGGGAGGGGGTAGCATTGTTCATAACACAAAGAGAGACCCTGGCTGCTACCTGCTTTCCTGAGTCAGGAAGACAGGAGGGGGTGGACAAGCAGCTGATTCTGCATTTTTCTCCAAAAACTGGGCAAAAGGCAACAGAGCCCAAGGGGAGCAGGGCAGATGCAGGTTAGACACGAGAGGGAACTTCCTGGCTCTGGAGACAGCTCTTGGAAGGAATCATGAGGTCTGTCCCATCCTCCTTGATGCTCTTGTTGGTCCAAATTCAAGGAAAATCAACCATCGAGGTACCTTCTCCTAAATAAGTCTCAGAAGCCCGAGATGTTCATCTTTATCTAGCAGTCATTTCTCTTGCTAAACAGTCTGGGTCAGCCGTGGGTAGGGCGAGTGAAACTCAAGTCCCTGGTCAATAGAACCCAGTGTGTGCATGACTGTGACATCCATCTTTAACATCTCCTTGCAAACTCTATCTGGCCTGGGCTGGTAGATAGAATGAACCCGTTTACCCGGCACCATTCACCCAGTACCTGCCGTGTGCATAGCTCAAACATGGTCCTCCCTGCTCTTGAGACCTTCACGGATGAATGTGGGGAGACAGACATGGGTCCAGTACAATTAATCCTAAACTAGAGAGGGACACGAAATGCTGTGGGAACATAAATACCTCAGCAAGTATCAGGAAAGGTTTACCCAAGGAGGTGACATTTGGGGTGTGAAGATTACATAGGAGTTTGCCTGGAAGCAAGTAGGAAAAGGCGTTCTACCAAAAGGAACCGCTGTGGCTGATATACTGCTTTTTGTTTTCTTGCAAAGGAGCATCATTAGATCTCTGAGGTTGTCGTGAGTACTAATACCATCTGAGACACATACTGAGTTTTGACGCCATTCGCAATAGCCCTCTTAAGTGAAAACGGTACCCTCGGCAAATGTCATGAGAAACGGCTGTTTGTCCATTCTCCCGGCAAAACTTTAGGATTTGAATCAAGCCCTCTCGCCTTCTCTTCTTACTAAGCGTCTATTTCCCTTGCCTGCCTGATTTGCTTTCCTAACGGGTGAGGGGTGGAACTGTGCTCCAGTTGTCTATTTTCAGATACTAATTAAGCATCAGTCTAATCCTTAGTGGATGCGAAGGGGGTCTCGGGCCTGGGGAAAGTGAGATTTTCATTTGCATGCTCCTCTCTCTTATTCAGCCTGCTGCCCCTCTCTCCAGCTTCTTGCTGACACGGGCTATCAGGTAGTCAGGTAGATGACTTCTATTGAAATCCCCTTCCCCACCCCCACCACCTCATCAGGCGCCTGGCACGTCCTCACCCCCGGGGACATAGGGCTTGCTGGCTGCTTTCCAAATGTCAAAATCTGTTGAGAAGCTTTTCTCTCCTTCCAGGTAAGTGTCAGCACCCCCCCAGCCTCTCTGGAGAGCTCCAAATTACAAGGCAAGTTGAGAGCGCTTGTGGGTCCCCAATCTTCAGAGGATCAGAGGCCACCAGGCCCCCTCTTAACATGAGCACGCACCCCAAACTGGTCAGCTGGTGCTGACTTTGCTGAAAATCAAAAAGGGGGCAACCAGACCCAGCCACGCTTTGTCCAAATGAAGGCAAATCAGCAAAACACGGCGTCTCTCAGTGACAACCCAGCATGCCACAGGGAAACCTAAGTCAGCCCAGACTTCCTGAGAATTAATGATGTCAGGATAAAAATAACAAGAACACTGACAACAGTGGGTGTGTGGCCGTTCTAACCCCCGAGACTCACTCACCCACAGCCCTGGGCCAAGCACTCAGCTCTGAGGTCAGCCCATGTTCAGCCTTTTCCTGCTGGTGACAT